AGGCCACCCTTATCTACTTTTGCAAGTATTTAAGGTCTGATTTAGTGTTAGAATAAAGCGTTTTAGTCCCWTAGACATATAAAACAACTAGACAGCCGACTATGAATTACATTYCCATAAGAACGTTGAAGTCGGGCCCCGCCATATGCCAACAGGGCAATGTTTATATATAACTCWATAAATAAGATACCTATATTGATAARTGATAGTAAATAATAATTCAAATAATGAAAAAACGAATTTCTTTTCATATTCTATAGTCAAAATGTCAACAAMAAATTAAATTACATAAAGTAGTAATAAGTACATAATATACTACAGTACAAATATTTATATTAATTTTGTTATCATTAATAAATATTCTTATAAACCATGCGATTTTGTAAACATTGTCCTGTTGGCATACGGCAGTTGACTTCAATATTATCCCGTAGTTGGCTATCTATTTGTTTTATATGTCTATGACATTGCCCTGTTRGCATATGACGGCTGACTTCAATATTATCCCGTAGTCGGCTATCTAGTTGTTTTATATGTCTATGTTTAGTCCACGAYGCGCGACGTAAAAAGGGACCACTGACCGTCACGAACCTAGCGGCCGTTTTCTTTCAGTGGTCCCCAATACGCATGCCATGGCGACAGCTCATAGATAACAATACAATCTAGGTTTTAGTATTATCTATGGAACTATGGCAGCAGTTTCCAAATTATGCGYCGCAGTATGACACTCTCACAATTCCTAATGCTATATAAAAAAAGCGGGGACATGGCACAAACTCGTGGGCACTGCCATTTTGTTATTTATAAGAATCAGCTGACGGCTCATATCATATATTTCAATAATTGAAAGTTGATACCTGATACCATTATKATATAACAGAAATGATAATAAATTATATTATAATTACTAATAATAATTAAAATTAAAATAATTGTTGAACTAAGTTACAAGTTAACAGTTGTTACTTCATACTTGTTGTTAGATAGYTGCAAGCAGTAAAGGTTAGGTTATAACGTTAGGATACGATAGGATTAAAACGTAAACAAACAAACCGTTTATTGT